TTTGACATCTACATCAAACTATTGGGGGTGTTCATATGTCAGTAAGAAATCAGTATGCTGATAATACCCAATTATATATCTTCACCCCTATGGGCTCTCACCATTATTCTTAATGTCCCTAGGCTTTGAGCAAGNTCTATCTATCTATCTATCTATCTATCTATCTATCTATCTATCTATCATCTATCTATCTATCTATCTATCTATCTATCGTTTATTTATTTATTCATGCTCTTTACCATTTACTCTTTTTAAATTCCAAGGCACCATCTTCTACATATGATGGGTATCACCAGTTGGTTAATAGATATTTATCTCAATCACTTACCAGGTATTTATTGGGTCAACTGAGAGTTTCACATAAAGTTTTTTTATAATGTAGAAAAAGAACAGATTAGGTTACTAGCCTTAATCTTATTTATGATATATACAGCATTCACTGCTACTGATCAGGATGATACCAGACAGTTTTGACTAATATCTCTCAGGAATAGGGCGGCATACAAATGGAATAAACATTTCAACATTTCAATATACAGCAAATGCAATCAAGGGCCAATTTAATCCCAAGAATCCTCATGATCATGCAAGCTGGAACTATACATTAATGATTCTCCACTTTGGCAATTTTTAGATCTGTGGACTTCAACTCCCAGAACTCCCCAACTAGCATGATCTAAACATTTCTAGCAAGCCAATGTATTGCCCCTCCACCTACTAGCTCAGAGGTATATAGATAGATAAACGAGATGCGGCAAAATAGTCCTCCACTATTATACGACTACTACGTGCCTCAAATTGATATCCTTCCCAGTCATATCTTAAATATTCATATGCAGGAAAATGGAGCTATTTTTACATTCTCACAGCCTGAGAATTTTGCATAATCAAAAGACAGTGGTTTTACCCTCCTGACCAAGGAATTGGAACACTCAAGAATATCACAAGATTACTTTTCCCTTCTTTAGTTGGTTCAAACAAAAGCAGTGTTTGAAAAGCCCTGAAAAACATAAGGGGATTGATATTTAATTTTATCTTTGACTTTGAAACTTTAAAACTTTGTACATTCTTCCTTGTAACTAATTCAAACTTTTTTTCCACTGCCTAAGCACCATGAGAAGTCTAGTTTAGTCCATTTATTAATGTAGTAGGATGGAAACCGTATGTCATTTACACACTCTTTCAGCCTTTTCCTTCAGCCCCACCCCAAAACTGTTGGCAAGGTGACCTAGCCAAATAACAATCAAATTTTTATTTCAAGAAAATGAAGGAAGCATCAGAATCACAAATAAGAGCAACAAAGCCAATACAAACAAAATGAGCATTTACAAAAAAATAAACTAATAAAATAACTTCCTAGAAAGAGACTCTGATCTAACTCAAAGAGCATTCTCCAGATCAAGTTTGACAGTCAGGATGTCATCCTAAATTAATTTCTGTTTTTTATATCTGTAAGGCTAAGCTCATATCAGCCTCACCTCAGAAGCCTGAAAAGGCCTTGCTATTCTGGTTATTGCTCTAAGTCTGATCTTCCCCCACAAAGCTAGACATGAATTTAGACTGGCTGAGAGATTGCAGCCGAGCAACTCCCCCACAGCCAATCCGCTGCAGGTTCTGCTACTCGGATGGGCAACAGGTAGTCTTCAACTTATGACCCAGTGGTGGAATTCAAATAATTTAACAACCAGTTCTCTGCCCTAATGACCATCTGGGTAGGTGGGGCTCAGTGGTCATGTGACTGGGTGGGCGTGCCCAACACAAGGTCACTCAGGTCCAGTGGTGGGTTGCTTATCCTGTTCCAACCGGTTCGGTTGGAACGGGGCCGGCGGCGTCCTCGTGCACGCGTGCAGTTCACGCATGCGTCATAGCTGCTCGCTGAGAATCGCACAGGCGCTGTATGTGCCATCCAGCTGCTCGCAGAGAATCGCGCAGGCGCTGTATGTGCCATGCGCCTGCGTGGAAGCACAGAAGCCTTCAAAGACC